AAGCTTAATAAGGAAGAATGGCGCCAAATCGAGTATCTGCTCTGGATTACCCAACCTTTCTTTGATTACACCACTGCGCTCTCTACAACGAAGGAGGTCACCATTCATCTTATCCTTGGTATCTATAACAATCTCTTTGACTATCTCGAGAAGTTCATACGCCAACTTCAACGCAAAAGGGTTTCTTGGAAAAAGACAATGCTCCATGCACTCGAAGCAGCAAAGGCCAAGCTCTCATTCTATTATGAAGAGACTGATAAGATGCATAGTGATATCTTTGCAATTGGCACAATTATTGCCCCTTCAAATAAGCTTCAATTCTTTTCCACAAGAGAGTGGGAGGGTGGCTGGCGTGAACGGTATCATAAGAGTCTTATCGACTATCTTGAGCAGTACACCAAGCAGCTTGCTGATCTACCAACACCACCAAGCACTCAATTATCATCTGGAAACTTATCTCAGATCGAAATGCTAGTTTCAAGCAGGGCCTTACAGCAGGGAATCAGATCTCACTGCTCTCGATCAAACAGGGATAATGACGAGCTTACAAAATATCTTGAGAGTGGTTAGTAGTGATTAATAACTCCATGACTTATTACTGACGTTAGATAACAGGCACAGTTAATATATCACCAAGGGCCTTCTGGAAAGAGCATGAGCACGAGTTCCCAGCACTATCTAGACTTGCTCGGGATGTTCTTGCCATCCCAGCTAGTGGGGCTGGTGTCGAACGTCTTTTTAACTCTGCTCGTGATATCTATCACTATCGCCGCGGCCATCTTAAATCTTGCACGATCAAAGACTTAATGATGTGGATGTGTACATCAAAGTTGAGCTTGAACAAGAGCAGCTAGAACTAATGGAAGAGTATCTTCCAGCTAGTGAGGTTGCTGCTATAGAGGAGGAAAGAGCTCCTCTTCAGCTACAGGCGGATTTTGAGCCTGTCAGTGATGATGAAGAAGATGATGCTAGTGATATTCAGACTGAAACACAAGATCGACTGAGTAAGCGACAATGTACAGGAACTAGGGAAGGGGGCCAAAGAGAAGGACAGTTAGTAGAGCAGTGTCATGAGTTAGATGACGAGACTGAACATCCCTTACCCCAGAATGACATACTGACGCGCGGATCTAAGAGATCTCGGAAGGCTCCAAGAGGGTTCGAGGATTATGAAATTATCAAACCATAGTCACATAGCCTAATAGAAGACTTTCAAGTAGTATCTCCTTTTCTGCAATTTGTCCTATAGTCTATACTACGACTCTATACCTTGATACTTGGATTCTGAAAGGTGACTTTTCTATACACCCCTAGAACGATAAATTACAAACAAAACATGCATAAATTATGTAGTAATGGATTTAGCCATGTTTATATTGTTTGCCTATCCGCAAAATATCCAAATCCACACTGCGGATACCATTTACTATCCATATTGTATCGTTGCGGATATGTGGATATCAGATTACATCCATATCCACGGATATGCGGATTTGGATATGTTGTGGATGTTGCCACAGCCTAATGCTAGGGAAGTTGTGGAGAGCTGTCATGTGCCAGTCTCTCTAAGTCCAGACTTCGCTTCGGCTAAGACGGCACAGATGAGTGGAGGTAATGATCCGGAGTACCTGACTAGTGTTAATGCAAAACACTGGCGCACTGTGCACCAGTTCGTGATCGTCTAATCATGCTATTGGTGAGTTCACCCAGGGGTGAGCGCTGGTGATCGCTGGTGATCGCGGGTGATCAGCGTCGTTCGTGATCGTAACACCTCAGTCCGTTTCTATCTGGTGGATGATCTTTAAGGCAGGAGTATCCTTACTATGGCCCTCTTCTAGTCTGCAGCCCTCGCTCGGCCACGACCCTCTCTAAGCTGAAGCCTTCGTGTGCCTGCGGGCCTCGTTCCGCTACGGCACGCAACTGGTTCTCCGGGAGCCCCCTCCAACTGCAGCCTTCGCACGTCTGCTGCCCTATGTCGACTATCGTAAGAATTCACAATGCCCAAGTATTCTTTAGTTGCAAGGAGGGGAGCTCGTCTACGTTCCAGTTAGACAAAAACTACATAAAATTTCCTCTCCGCGAGAGATTTGGCACAGTAGCGGTGGGGATACGTAGGTAAGCAAGAGGGTCTTGGCAGAGAAGTCACATGTCTCGATTGGTCTCAAGACCACGGTCTCAAGACAGAATCAGGCTTGTGAAGGCAGCTCTATTTCCCTGCCTCCAAGCCCGGGCTCACAGCTCCTCAGATACATGCAACGTGATATATATCCCACGGCACAGGTCGTATTCTGCCTTGTACCTGGCTTATTATGACGATGTTAGTCCCATTATGGCTATCCCGTGTCCGACACCGACTCAGGACTACATGATTCCTAAGAATCGGCTCCCATCTCCCGCCAAGTATTGGGGCCATCACTGTCCCTGCCTTGTACCTCACTTATTGTGAAAGTGTCAGTCTTACATTACCGCTGTCGACTCAATACTGCTTCATTTCCAAAAACTGATTCTCACGCCGAGCCAGCATACTTTACAAGACTGTCCTCACAGAAAGGGCTGATAAATAAGAGACGGCGCTTGAGAAAAATTGATAACAAATGAGGTTGGTAGGGCAGTCACCTGTTCGGGCCAATATCAGACTAGAGGGACTTCCAGTAGGAACCGACTGCAGAGTAGGGACCAACTGCAGAGTAGAGACCGACTACAGAGAAGGAACCTACTATAAAGTAGGGACCGACTGGAGAGCAGGAACCCACTACAGAGTAGGGACCGACTGGAGAGCAGGAACCCACTACAGAGTAGGAACAGACCGGGGAGTAGGTACCTACTGCAGAGTAGAAATCCGCCACAGGGAAGGGACCTACTACAGAGTAGGAACCCACGAGAGGGTAGGCACCCACTACAGAGCAGGAACCGACTGGGGAGTAAGTACCTACCTCAGAGTAGGACTCCACCTGGGAGTAGGGACCGACTCCAGAGTAGGAACCCACTAGAGAGTAGGAATCCACTACTGAGTAGGAACCTTCTACAAAGTAGGAATCCACCACAATGTAGGGACCAACCGGGAAAAGGACCGAGCAATCTACTGAGGGTTGATGCGGCACCAAACAGTATCGCACGGTCCGAGTAGAGACCGATTGCAGAGTAGGGACCGACCAGAGTGTAGGAACCGACTGGAGGGTAGGGATCGACTAAAGGCTGCTGGGGGATAGGAATCGCCTACAGAATAAGAACTGACAACAGAGTAGGGATTGTCTGAAGCATAGAGACCGACTGAGGTCCGAATCAAGTGGTTAGTATAGGGAGATACCTGTATACGGGGCAGTAATTCGCGGAGGATTATAAGTGGGTTTAGTGACACAGGCGGATTGCAAGCCCTATCGGATGTCAGTCGGCGGATCGAAGGCAGAGGGAGTTTGAGAGCCACAGACTGAGAGCCAGCCTGGGCGGAAGTCTACTTGCATCTGTCCAATGATTGCGATCGCTAGATCTATGTCCCGCGCTTCCAGTCCCTGGCCTTACATATTGGCCAGGTGGTCCTCAGTTGGCAGTCCTGCGCCCGTGCCGGACGTACGACCAAGGTCTGACGACCGTGTCGGTCGGAGGCATATTTATATGCCCCCTGATTCTTTCCAATTCTCAACCTTCCATGGCATTTTCGTTTTATCGGGCGCGTATATGGCAATCCTGATGCCATGTCGCCTTATTTCGATATATCTGCCGCCTTACTATTCGCTGATTTGAGCCCCAGATGGAATCCAAATCACCCAATCGGCCTACTGCTCCGTTGGACGTGCTCGGGCCATAATATGATTTGCAGAGACGCCGATCATGTGCCATGTTCTGAAACGCCGTGGCCTTGGGCTATATCTATAAGTAGCGAGGTCACTGCTTTTGATGGGGCGTTCGGCACACATTTTTTGAGCCACCGACGGTGAAAAACGATGCGCCAAAACGGAGATTCCCTTATAAACCCTTCCAACCCCGCTACTATGGCTAAGCCGCTGCGCCACTGCTTTCGTTTCCGTCTACTCGCCACTTCAATCCCTTGATACGGTGTTCGCATTTTCATCTGAGATATCGTCTGCGTATATACTTCAGTCTCCTGCTCCATACAATATGTCTCTCTTAACACGGTTCTTTGGATTCTTCCAGACAAGGCAAACCCGCCAAAGTCGGCCGTCACCGGCGGAATCGAAACAGGCCGTAGATAAGGTAAATATAAACTTATATCTGAACCTTTTTTTACACAGGCAGTAATCTCTCTAGGCTTGTGCCTGTTGCGTCGATCTCCATACCTGCCTGGGGTCTCTCGACGATACCCAGTGGGATGAACTTTTGTGTCGTTGTTCGGACCTCGGATTCGGTTTTGTGGACATCCCAACAGAAGTGGGCTGTGCCAACAGTCACACCAAGTATAGATATAATGGCGGAGCTTGTGAAAACTTAACTATCGATAGTTCGTCGGAACCGTCGATAGTGCCATCTTTTCCCGCATCTTCATGGAAATCTCAGTTCGAGAGTGTGGCAAGGCAGGTCCTGGATTCTACAGAACTCCCACATATACAATTTCGACACGGCAGTGATACTCTCAGCTCAAGCCACGCCCAGGAGCCCTTCTCGCCTCCAGCTTTGACAGATAATGGAATCCGTGATTCGCAATTACAGATGGATATAGTCACGGACTCTGCTTTGAATTGCCGGGATAGCTCTGAGGTCCCAGACAACCAAATATCTCATCGCCCTGGAGATGCTGCTGCTCTTAGCCCTACTCAGGGATTCCAAAATAATCTAATAGGCTTCCGTCGGAACAGTAACTTGGATGGCGTTGACGCGCTTTCAGCCAATTCTGCTAACTACCACAGCCAGATAATCTCCCCGGGGACAGCAGAGGTGAACTTCGTCGATCCCTCCGAAATAGCAACCTTCCACTTGTCGGACAGCCAGTGTTGCTCTACTGATAGTAGCCCTGTCGGGGTGACTGGCCATGACAGGGAAGTCGATCAGGCGATGATAGACGATGACGACGCATTCCCATGGTCGTCAACGCCGGCGTCGGTGAACAGCGAAAGGGCCACCTCGGGTACCAGCTGCGGAATTTTTGTCATCAGATCTTTCGTGACAGTAGATATAAACCTTTCGGCATTGCCACGGTCTGCTTCACCTCGCTTGAAGAAGAAACTAGCTCCCAGCTTCCCCTCATTATCGAATGAATGAGCAACCGTTCGAGCGATAGTGGACTTGCCGGTCCCAGCCATGCCGTTCAGCCAGAATATATGTTTGCTTTCGCAAGATTGGGCCCATTCTGAGATCTGGCTGAGCAGCTCGACCCTAGTGTTTGGAAGGCATCTGTCGTCATGCTGATTGGCGTATGAATTATAGTACGCTCCTTTGGCAACGGGCAGACTGAAATTCTGGAGGACTCGGAGAACCTTGGACACTTCGTCGTCAATTCTGGCCAAACGAAGCTCTGCTTGTCTGCCGTTCTGCAACAAGTTATCAAATGCATCAAGCTGCACCCACTGGCAGAGCTTCTGCCATTCATTTTCTACGGAGGATCGCAGTTCCGTGAGGCGTTGACCGGTTATCGGGGTAACACTGTCCAGTATTCTCCTTCCGACACTAGCGTTCTGAACAGCCAGCAGTTCCGCTGCGTATCGAAGAACTGCTTTATAAATCTCGATAATCGCACGCTCTATCTCAGATTTTGAGATGGCGCCATTCCGGTAGAAATACATCTCGATATAGGCATCGGTTTTGCGTCATCTATAATTTTAGTATCGATTAGTCTTCTTCTCGAAGGTTAAGTTTGGGAGACCTCACACTCAGTCCAAGGGAGATAACAGCCCATGCACCTGCTGCATGATGGGTAGGGTCGAAAGACACCACTGTGTTCACGATGTCTTTGAAGGATAAGGCAGCATTGAGGATCTTTCGCGAGAGCATTCGAAGGTCAATATCTTCTCCTGTTGACCTATGAATTCTTATGCCTCCTTGCTGGTATCGCTTGTATTGCTCCTCCGTTATCTGAATAACACCATCGATGACAGCCACAGTTTGGGAGCGATTCTTGTCGTTGCTTTCCTGCCGGGGAGTAGCTTGTACTCTCGACAAGATATCCCGCTCCTCTAGGTTTAGTTGATCATAGGCAGATTTTCAGAGGTCCTGGTGCATAGAAGGGCCTTGACTGTCGGCTGTATCGTGTCGTTTGGCTGGAGCTGTTGGAATCGGTGCGGGATTACCAGGCGTCCGCCCAGCTTGACTCTCAGGTTGAAGCGGGTGGGGTGACTTGGGCCCATGGAAGGTATGCCGCCTTTTCTGCTTCCACCACTGTCGCATTTTGGGTGACGTTTGCAGGAAAAATATGGAAAGTTATGCGCTGAAAAAGACTTACGTAGATTGCAACTTGGGGAAGGCGAGAGATGCTCGACATATACCGTGAAAAGCCTTTCCGTGATGTGTTGGCGCGGCTGAAGGCACCAAGGATGTATGCAGTACTACTGGCCAATCACAAGCAGCTATTGGGGAGAATATCTTCCAACCCATCACAAAAATCGACCGTTTCCATAATATCTGAATATGCACTCGGTGGGATACAGATTCTCTATCTATGTTCACAGCGGCCTCAGCCGATTCTGCTCACGACCGACCAGATTGTCTCCCCTGGAGGCTAGCTACAGGCAACATCGAAAAGCGTCATCCTAGTAATCCGGCCCCACCACTAATTGACGGCGCGGCCCGTGCCCACCATTATCAGGTGGGTCTTGCGACTCGTCGTTCACCCTAGCATCGCCCGCACAACTTCTCTCTGTGTCAGTCAGTCCTAGGAGAGAGCCCTCAGATAGAAATTGTGTACAGCCAGCCCATTATCAAAGCCAGACGTCTCCCATATATGATAATGTTTTCTTTCCCTTATCCAGCACTCCCACAAAAGCTCTATCTGACCCGCATGGTCCGCATTTTGCCACACCCAGACAACGATGCCCCGATCGAATGCATTCTCTTCGACTATGACCTATCAGAAGGAGGTAGTGGGACTCACATTTATGAAGCTCTTTCCTATTGTTGGGGGAGTAACATTAAATCTAAGTTGGTGACGTTGAATGGCCACACCTTTTCCGTTACCGAAAACCTCTATACCGCGCTATTGTATCTTCAGAACCGCCAGCTTGAGCGAACGATACGGATTGATGCACTATGTATCAACCAGTATGACGCTGCCGAGAAGAGCAAACAGATTCCGCTTATACGAACAATCTATGCAAAAGCCGCCCATGTCGTTGTTTGGCTTGGCGAGGGCACAGAGGATGGAGGCAAAGCACTGGAAGGAATCCGTTTCCTAGCAGGAAAAGATACATATTCCAAGGCAGTCTGCGAAACCCATCGCTATGCGTGCTTGAAATTATTGCAGCGAGAATGGTTCCGCCGTGTCTGGGTAAGAAGCATCACAGTTTTCCGCATAGTCGACTAACCACTCTATATAGGTGCTTCAGGAGGTTGGTGTAGCACAATCCATATACATTATGTGCGGCTACGTCCAACTTAGCGGGCACATTTTCTGTGAAGGTCTCAATAAATTAGAGCTTCCTCTAAATCTCCTCAAGAAGGTCGGTCCAGTCATTTGTCTGATAAAGGACGCGCCTTTCCGGCCAAAATTTGAGACAAATTCACGCGGAGCGTTTTCCTTGGGAAGGCTTATTGGCATGTATCGCGACTACCGTGCTTCTCAGCCGCACGACAAAATATACGCACTGTTGGGGCTAAGTGCTGATGTTGATTCAGCTGATCTACAACCAAACTATGGGATCGCATGGCATCAGCTTCTCAAGGTTGCCACAAGCCACATTTTCCCTAAGAGCTCAATACAGACATGGGAGGGTACAGAGTCCGCCGTTATCAAAAGCAAAGGATGGATTTTGGGTCACATCCATTCCGTTGCACAGGACATAACTGGATTTGGCCAAAGGATTACGCTTCTTCTTAACGACACTGCCGAGTCACTGGGTTATCGAGAAATATGGCAGTCTGAATGGGTTGTTGAAACTTGTGCAGAGTTGATTAAGGATGGCGATATCGTCTGCCTTTTGCAGGGGAGGTCAGAACCAAGCATCATTAGACTCTGCAATGACCATTTCACGGTGATTACACCTTCCGTCCAACCACAGCAAAGGAACCAGACCGAAGGTTTGAAACCTGCGCTCCAAATACGGCGTGATATACCAGGACTGCATGATATCCTGTTGACATTGAGACTACGGCTTGTTGAAGGAGGATTAGAGTCAAATATCCCACTTGGGTTAATGGATATGGCGCCGGAATATCGGGAAACACATACGGAAAGCGAGTTAAGGTTGAATCACATAGCCCTGGTTGTGGTAGGTATCGCTGCGAAGGCGCGAAATCAGAATCCGAAGAGCAGAGGATTAGAAAATATCCTTGGTCAGAGTGGTACGTGTAATCCCGTCATTGAAGTCCTCAAGGTTGCAGCAGCCAATCCTGGTTCTTATGGGGACCGAATCATTCAAATTCTCTTGCATCAGCGACACGAAAGCCTGGCGGTCTCCGAAGGAGTGGTCAAGGCAGCAGCAGGGGATCCTGAAGATTGTGGACATGAAACTTTGAGACTCCTCTTCCAGCAGCGAGGGGAGAGTTTACCGGTCTCCGAAGAAGTGGTCATGGCAGCAGCAGGGAATCCTGGAGATTGTGGACATAAAACTTTGAGACTCCTCTTCCAGCAGCGAGGGGAGAGCTTGCCGGTCTCCGAAGACGTGGTCAAGGCAGCAGCAGGGAATACTGGATATTATGGACCTAGAATTATGGAAGTTCTCTTCCAGCATCGAGGAGAGGATCTTCCAGTCTCAGAAGACGTGGTCAAGGCAGCAGCGGAGAATACTGGATTTCATGAACTTGAAATAACGGAAGTCCTCTTCCGGCATTGGAAGGAGAGCCTCCCAGTCCTCCCAGTCGCAGAGAAACCAAGACACTGCAGCGGTTAGATCTCAAGTTGCACTTCTTGCCCTGTGAGAATATTTGGCTCGCTGAAATGGACCTAAGTCGTGCCTCAATGTGTTGTGCGCTGTTCATGAATCCAGCGCTTGGACTACTTCCGGTTTTGCAGCTGCTGGCTCAGCTATGGAACGGACGAGCCACCGCGCGGTAGCATTGGCGAGTTACAATTACTGATGGCGAGTGATTGAATATTGGTTAGTCTTCCCGATTAACGTAGAGGAACGCGGTTAGAGCGAAAGAAGTTAAAACCTGGTAAGGAGAATCATTTGCTTTGATTGCTCTCGATAACAATAATACAACTCAAGTGAGACGTAACTTCTTGCGCCAGTCTACGCCGAGTAGCGCCTCCCACAACGGTCCTATGGGAAAGCTCAGGGTGATTAAGGAGTTCAGACTTCTGTTGCAGTGGCTCCCGATCACAGACTTCACACGTCGCCCCTTTAGCCGGCCAGGGAGAGCTTACATGTTTCCGTAGGAAGTTCCTCGTGAGTGGGCCAGGCGTCGCATGTTTCAAAAGGCGATCTTTTTGCGGGAGGTCGGGGTTCCCTAAGCAGAGAAGGCAGATCTGGGGCCCTTGTTTAGAGAATCGATCCGCACAGATTCCACCGATTGGCATATTCACGCTCTGCTGCCATTCCCTCCGCCAGAAGGTCATCTGCAAACGGACCGTCAAACACACCCCATGGTCCGAGGGAAGTAATCAGAGAGCATCAATATTATAAAAACATTCTAGATCAATCCCTATATCTTATACCCCATACTGATTATAAGAATGTTTCCCAAGTCATACCCATGACACGTTGTGTTGCTTCTAACGAACGAGCGATGTCATCTATCAGACAGCGCAAAAGACTCCCGCCAGCGACTCTCCACTCGATGAACGTCGGATGCATGGCGCTGGAAAGCCATCCTATGCAACAGAAACACCTCACAATAATTGCATTTGAGCGGATCTTCATGCAAATGATGAGAATCGAAATGCCGCGTCACACACCCAGCATCATAGAACATCTTACAACGAGTCTTATCGGGCAGTTTCTCATTTGCAAAGCATTGGAAACAAGCCCGCGGCTTTTTTGAAGTGTCTGTAAGATGGTTCTGTGTTGCACGGAAGAGCTCATCGCGTGGAGAGAGCGTGGCCCTCGTGTTCTCGTGAAGACTGTCTCTAGCGTCGGACGCGCCGTCGAAGTCAGGTTCAGAGCCTGTCGTTGGGACGGATTTTGCGTCAATCTGCTTGGGACGGCCACGAAGTGGGCCACCTTCGTGGACGCCACAATACTGCACAACAGCGTCCACAGCATCATCGCGCCGTTTCCATTCATCTTCCACGGAGTTGGACGTCGGGTACGAGAGAAGGCGCTGAAGAAGACGCAGCTGCAGAGGATGCATGTCATTCTGTAAGGACGATTCTTCGTCCTCGCTATCTTCTTTTACTGCTGTACCAGACAACTGCGCCTCGATGTCCAGAAATGCTTGCTCTTCGTCAAAGTTCTCTCGGACCTGCTGCCGTAAGGCCCTCAGCAGCCGTTGCCGCGTATTCTTCAATTCTTTCTCACGTTGGCGGACCCGATTCAGTAAGTTCGGTTGCCGAGACTCCTCGTAAAGAGCACGAGCGTTTTCCAGCTTGCGACGGGCCTCTTCCATATCGGAATGATCCTCGACCTGGGCCCTCTGCTGTTTGGTCAGATACCGTGGCCGCCGTGTGTCTCGCCAACGGCTCTGCCGCGTGACGGCCCGCATCAATTCCACGTCTGGGTCAAGGCCGCAGATGACCCGGATCATATCGGTGTCGAGCTGCAGAGGATGGTAATGGTTAAGAAAGGTCCGGGGATTGGCGTGTTTCATGATTAGCATATGTTGTTCCTTGCTGACCCACCCTGCACAATATCAGCTACCCGCCCAGATATAAGAGTCCATTAGATTGTTGGCGCTGATTGCGGTCCTTACCACTCTCGTTAACCACCTTGCCGCTTCCGTATCGGAACTGATGGGCGTGGAATGCCCCTTTCCAGCCACGAATCTCCCCGAAAGTAACTAGCATGCTCGACATAGCTGCCTTCGACATCGGCTTTGTCCACTGAATAGTCGGAACCCCTTTGACTAATTCGGTTTTGGCGAATATATACCAATCGGCTTTGTCCCGGTGTATTGGCACCAGGAGCTGCTCGCAACCTTTGCTGATAAAGAGACTGCGAAGCTTGGCTTTCGAGGTCAGGTTTGGGTTGCGGAACGCCCGAGCATGGAAAAGGATCCCAAACAGCAACGTGTGGGGGCATAGAACTAAGGACGGCCCGTAGATCACTTCTGGGAGTGCAAAGGTGGTTCTATTCATCGATCAGAAGGCATCTTTCAAGACATGCGGAGATCTTTCAGCAGTCGCCTAAGTCCCTGACGGGGATCGTGGATAGAGGGACAGAAACACAGCACACACACACAAAAAAAAACAGAGAATTTGGACACTTACAGTTTAGTCTGTCCAAGAAACTTCTTGACTCCTTCCGCTGTAAGCTCAATCAGGGGAACCGGAGGTCCGCCGTGAGGATCCTTTTGAAGGGAGATTTGAAGATCCTTGAACTGGAGACTTAAAAGCGCACTTCGCCGATGCACGGTAAACAGAGCTAGCGAGTTGAATACACGTACTTGGATGCGCTGAAACCCGAGGTGGAACTTCTTCTCCTGAGTCGATAGAATAGTTTCGTTGAATGGACCGATATCCTCGATATACACCGGTGTCTTCTTTGCGGGCTGGGTATCTAGCCCATTCTCGTGGACGAGATATTTGAGACCCTGCCAATAGTTAGAGCACAGTGCCCAGCCGACCATGAGAAATACAACGTTTGGTACGTACCCTGCGCACTTACGACCCATCGTGATCATTGATCCGGGTCTGGGTTAACTTCTGGTAATATCCACGGAGATTTTTCCAGTCCGCTTCCAATGAACTTGATTTGTGGATGCCCTTCAAGTGACGGCCCTTCTCTCCTCGCTCGAGCTTGAGACACCAGCCTAGGAACCGATACATGTCATTGTTGGACGCCTGGCGCAGGGCTTCTTCAGGATTCCGCCACTTTTGCACCTTAGGCTCTAGGCGTGTTCTGCTAATGCAGTACCTATGATATTGTCAGCAGAAGCTAACCGACCCCTAGCCCCGCCAGAGTCTCTGACCTTTTCCAGCGGCTCTCAATTCGTTCTCGCCGTACGATTGTCCCTTTCGCTTTATCGAAATCTTCGGGAATTTCAGACAGATCAATCCCGGTATCATCAAGGGGATCGTCGTATATCTCTTCCGCCCCATCAGGTCCTCCTAACTCTGGAGCAGATGGACTTTTGATCGACCGATGACGTTTTGGTGGACGCAGTGTATCGTCCGGCTCCGTCAAATCCGTCTCGTAAGCGGCGTCGCCCTGTCCATCGGAGTCGGTGCTGCCGCTTGTAATAATGTCCGTATCACAGTCATTTTCCAGATGTGTACTCGGTCAGGATCGTGGACGTTTCATAGTATGGGTTCGAGAGAGCAAGCGGTCAACAAACACTGATCATAGAGTAGAAGTGAGACCAGGCCACGGCAAAAACAAATAACAAACACTCAGTGGTGTGCGAGTTACTCAAAACATGGAATATCTAGGGGACAACGCTCGTAAATGTAGCAGGTCAGAATAATAAAATAAATGGGAGACGGGAAGATGAGAAAACGAGAGGATAGGTGGGTGGGAGAGGGAGAAGAATGGTTGAAACAGGCCACGACAAAACGAAAGGCAGCCATCGCGGCTTCGGACTAATCGAGTGCCGTGAGGCCATTTTCGGCGCTCTCAGGAAACGGCGGTTGCAGGCGCGACGGTGAAGCAGAAGGTGAGCCTCGTCGAAAGATGGAGAAGGGATGGAATCGCCCACGTGGGGCCCGTGGACAGTGGGGTCAGGGTCGAGGTGCGTAGCGGACGAGGTCGTGGTGAGAGGGCCAGGTCACGTGTTACAATGGCAGCCATTTGGTAAATCCAAATTGTTATACAGCACATCTCGCAATTAAAAGACTTGCCTTGTAACAGGCGATGCCTGATAGGCGCATGTTGCGGCTAGACCTGGGCAGAACCCATGGGCCGGCCCAAATGGGTCAACCCATTTAGGCCCATGGGCCAAAAAATCGACTTTCTGCCCACGCGTGGGCCGGCCCATTCGGCCCATTCGGCCCATTTTAGGGCAAAAATTAATGAGCATGTGACTTTCATAACTTATACAATTTACGCGAGTTCTTGGCTGTAATTCCTTGGTAACAAGAATAAGTGACACAATATGAAAGTTTGTTAAAGGAGGGTATTTTGATACTACTGCTAAAATCGACTATATCTCATATCCATCTAATAACCTTGAACGCTTTCGAACCCTTCCTGAAACACGCAGTGTGTTTTGCTCAGGCAAATCAGGCTCCTCCTCAAGCGCAGGCTCTTCCATGAGCTCTTCCATAGGCTCTTCCACAGGCTCTTCCACAGGCTCTTCTATAACCTCATTTATACTCCTTCGCCTCTTTAAATTATATTGCGGTAGCCCCTCCTCACTATCACTAATCTCTAGAGTATCCTCTTGCGTACGATCATCTATCTCTTCTTGTCGGAGCTCTCTCTCAGACTCAGTTGCGTACTCCCGAATGAAAGCAAGCTGCTCCTCTTCCAGATCAAACCGAATCCCACACATGAGAAGCATTAGATCCTGGATAGTACTCGATTGTAGTGAGCCACGGCGATAGTGGCAGATATCACGCGCGGAGTTAAAGAGACGCTCTACGCCTGCGCCTGTGGCTGGGACGGAAAGGGTATCTCGAGCGAGAGCTGCGAGTACTGGAAATCTATGCTCATGATCTCTCCAGAATTCATGTGGGGGCATTAATACCGTGTCTATTTAAAAAAAAATTAAGATTAGTGAGAGTATTTAGTTTAAGAACAGATGATAAAAAGTCCACTTACCACTCTTGAGGTACTGAGTGAGCTCAGAGACTGGTGCAATAGGCCGATTATCACGAGCGAGTAGTAGATCAATCTCACTCGTAGGCTTCGCGATGTGTAGACCTCCAGCTTGCGAGAGACAGCTATATACACTATTCTCGTAGTGTTTTACTCGGTCTTCGAGAGCTTGTTTGTATTGGGCAGCAAAGTCTTTGTTATCGTCCTGCCAATCTGGGGTTTGGAAGAATTCAAGCTTATACTGCGGCGCCAAAATTGTCCCAGCTGAATATATATCACTGAGGCCCTCGAGGTCAGTCATCGTGTAATAGTCTCTGAGCTTACTTTCAGCTGATCTTAGAGCCTCAAGCATTTGCTGTTTCCACCTGATCTTCTTCCGTTGTAGCTGGTGAATCCGACCCTCTAGATGATCAAAGAGATGGTTGTAAATACTGAAAACAGTATGAATCGTCACATCTTTAGTTTTTGAGAGGGCAGTGGTGAATTTGTAGAAAGGCTGAGTGATACAGATCAGGTAATCAACCTGGCGCCACTCATCTGGTGTAACCTGAAGATGAGAGTGATGAAATTCAGAGCAGAAGGTATCAAACACAGGTTGTAGCTTCTTCGCCCGGTGGAGCATTAAGAATGTCGAATTCCAGCGTGTCCGTACGTCCTGAATAGGGAATAATCGAGGTGTATTTGACTGGAGGTTGTGGAAGGATTCGCGGCGCTGGGGGCTCGCATTAATAAAGATAGTGAGGTTTCGGATCTAAGTAAGAGATTATATGATTAGTATATATTCGATAGGTAGAAAGAACAGCTATAAGATCAAACCTTCTTTAGTGTATTTGCCATGCTATACTCTGTTGCTGTTTGGCGCGCTATTTTCGTATGCTCTTCAGACCAGACTGTGTCGATATTCTCATTCAATGGGTTGGCTTTCAGTTGACCAAGGAGCTGCTTCAGGCTTAACTGGATCACATGGGCGAGGCATGGCACTCGGATAATAAGAGCATCAGAGCCTAGGCCCTGAGACTGGAGAGAGTCATGTAGAGATGAGATAAGAGTCGAGTTATTAGACGCATTGTCAGTTGTGACAGCTAATACCCGCCCTTTGATCTCATGCTTTTCGAGCAGGTCTAGTACTACTGTGCTTAAATAAGCCCCAGTATGAACACCAGAGAGAGGCTCAAAGCCTAGTAAAACCTCCCGATATTCCCAATCAGTGTCGATAAAATAACCGGACACTGCCATGAAGGCCTGTTGGAAGGGGGAAGTCCAACAGTCTAAGCTTATTGAGAGCTTTGCCTTTGGTGGGAGCCTCCGAAGTATCTCTTTCTGCTGATCTTGTGCTTTTGTTTGAATTCGACGCTGTAAAGTTCTTCGAGAGGGGAGGCTTATAGCGGTCGGTGCTTTCTGAGCTAGTTATAGAAGCTTAAGGAATTCGGGGTGTTCAACAGTCGTAAAGGGAAGCCGTAGGGTAGTAATTGTAGAGATTAATTGGTGTTCCCAGCGAGTCTCGCTAAATGGTTCTGGAGCAGTTTTTGCCTATTAAGTAGTAAGATTAGCTTTCACGTAAGAACTATTAATCTAGGGGCTTGCTCGCCTGCTTCTGTAGTAGGCGCTGGATACTTGATTGGCCCTTTGCTTTGCATATTGCCCGTTCTAGGTGTCTCCGTAGAGCAGTTGTTCCTTGTTTCCCTGCTGTCCCTGCTTTGGTATGAACTAAGGAGTTTGGATGGTTCAAGATAGCTCCACAGTGCTTGCACATCACCTTAGGTTGCCCAGTAATAAAATGGGCAACCTGTTCGAAGTCAGCCCATATATCTGCTCGCTGGCCCTTTCAATCCCAGAAAGTAGATTAATGCTCAGAGTGCCCACTCTGTGTCTGAATCCACCAGTTCACAAATTGCTCTTTGTTCATATCTTCGCATATAATGTAGGTTTGCGCTGAATCTGTGGAGTGTTTTAGAGAATAGGGAACAGAAAGAGGCGGAGGAAGCTGCGTTGTTTCGCTTATGGAGTGCTCAGGCGCGATACTTTCAGAAAACAGAAAGGATGAAGCATCAAACTCCCCACTCTCTGAAAGGGGTACTGAGTAGATATCTGATGGTTGAGACATAATGACTGTTAGTGAAATTGTTTAATAGTCCTAAGATGAAAGAGAGATTATACTTTACTATAAGAAAGGAGAGAGTAAGCCTATATTTCTGCTAAGATGCAGAGTCTTTAGATAGCCCGAGTTATCATCAGATTCATCCTGGACATAGAGAGCCCGAGGTGACGCGTCTGATGTTGTTTGCGCATAATTAGCTAGTCGATCTCTGAGCCCCATATTTAACTATCTTATATTAGTTAGTCTAATGGGCCGGCCCATGGGCCGGCCCATTTGCCGTCAAAATTCATGCAAAGGCACCCCCCCCAAGTTTTAATCCAATCTACAACTTTTTTCTCACCCTCCTGCGTTCACTTTATATTGAATTTGGCCTACTTTGCGCGCTTGGATTGTGAAATAAAAAGCTTTTATAAATAATCTAGATTGTTCTCTGTTATATAACACTAAAAAACCTACACAAAAAAAGACATCTGTCAAGATGTCAAAAATTGATGCTAAGAGCAGAAGGATATATTCAATCATCAACACGTAGATAGTTATATATTTCTGACTTAGACGAGAGTAAGTAAGTTGTAATTTATTCTGTAAATTGCCATAGCTAAGGGCGAAGAATTAAGACAGCTATAAATTACGCTAGTAACTTTAGATATTTTGCATATTAATTATGCAAATCTGGGGGCCAAATGGGCCAAATAGGCCAAATCATGGGCTGGCTGACCCATTCGTGGGCCGACCCAAATGGGCCGGCCCACGAGATTTTTGTCCATGGGCCGGCCCATGCCCAGGTCTAGTTGCGGCTATCACGCCACAACTTGACTCCAATTCTGAGACCCGATTGGTGCCCAATGATTGTCATAAGGACTTGTTTTCATCCAACCTTTCAAATTTCCCTTCTTCTTTCCTCAGCGATATCTTTTGTATGCTAGTCTTATATAGATTTAGCAACATGGGACTGAGCCCGTTTCATGCCTAAGGATGCTAAGGTATTACTTGCCTTGAATTGCTGGACTAGCCTGTTCTAGCAGGCATCTATGGCTATTACAGCCTATTTTATTAATAGTGAATGGAACCTACTGCAAGCTTCTTCTTGGCTTTAAGCCTCTATATAATCCTTACTCAGGGGGTTTAACCTGAGTAACATATTACTTTAACTATTAAAAGAATAACAACTCCTAGATTAAATCTTTACTATGACCACAGATAATGCAACTAATAGTAATACTTTAATCCAGGGGCTATAGGATATATTACTTTCTACTAGCACTATTACCTCTTAAGATTTTATTATTTATATTCCTTATATGGCCTATGTAATCCAGCTTAGAAAACTCTTTGGCGACACCCAAAACACCCACACCTGGCCGTTCTCGAGCCGGAAATCGTTGAAAGTTATATTTAACTTTACCCTTGATCGGTTCCGAGTGGTAATTTCTTCTTCTTCTCGCTCGTTGCGGTGCAATGGGTGGTAAGAAGAAGAAAGGGGCCGTGGCGGCGGCAAATGCGTCACCGTGGCCTGACCTACCCTTCGATACCTTTAACGACCTTGATCTACGCGCCCATTCGACAAAGCTACTAGATGCAGTATCTCAGTTGAGACGCACTGCGGAATCTACTAGGGGTCTCCCCCCTTTTGAGATGTTCTGGTCGCTCCTAGGCACTGTGGAGTCCCTCACGGTGAAGGCACGCGATGGCGACGCAGCCCAGCTTGCTAAGGAGGTCCACGATATCAAAACCATGCTCAAAGACACCGCAAAACAGATCTCCAGCGAAACCAAGAGCATCCAGCATTCTATTGACGCGCAGCGTACCCTCCCTGGCGCCCCCGGGCGCACCCCCTACCGTGCGGCTCTGCTGTCCAGCAAGGCAGAATCCTCGCTCGTTTCTGATTGGATGAGACGGGCCCACACCAACGGCTCAGTCGTATCAGGGGGGCATACCAGCACGGGCAGCCTGCCAGCGCCGGTTAGCCCCCAGCGAAGCGACCTGGAAATTCACATCCGCCGGACTGACCACGCGGTGGTTGACCCCTTCCGCCATAAGGAAGGCGCGCTCGTGGAGCACGCCAACCGGGCTATCCGGGAATCCGGGGAGGCCATGATCGCCCACCGCAAGGTATCCACGGGCCGCGTGCTCCCTAGCGGAGACGTTCTCCTGCAGGCAGACAGCCTGGAAGATACCGAGCGGCTCACCCGATCTAGCGCGTGGATACGTGCGTTCGGGGCCGACGCAGCTCTCAAGAAGCAGACCTACGGGGTGATCATGCATGGCGTGGACTGCCACCAACTCACTGACGGCAAGGCCGCTAACTTCATTGCGCGCCTGAAGGCTGATAATGCGGGCCGCCTAGCGGCCACCCCTACGGAGATCGTCTACGCTGGCTGGCTGTACGGGCAGCGGAAGATAGACGCGGAGAAGTTACGGAGCTCCCTGGTTTTGGTGGATTTCGATAGCGACAGGGCGGCGAACCGGGCACTCGAGCTCGGCCTCGCGCTAGATGGTAAGAACCATGCCTGCGCCTACTATGACCGGAACTTTCGCCTCCAGCAGTGCTACAACTATCAGCTATATGGACACATCGCAAAGCACTGCAAGCGACCCACCGCCTGCCCCTACTGCGCGGGCAGGCACCCCCCCACTGAATGCCCGGACGCTAGGGACCGGGAGAAAGCCAAGTGCGCGGTCTGCGTTGCCGCGAAGCAGCCAGACGATGCCCACTTTGCATACGACCGAAGCTGCTCTATCCGCGTGCATAAACAGGCCCTTATTCGCGCAGAGAGACTAAACGGACCCCAATTCCACGCCCCCGCGGCCCGATGGGCCCTGGAGACGCCCCCATCATCGATTACTAGCACCAACCCCGCGGTTAATCCAACACCGGCGGAGGCAGCGGCTCAGGCAGACACCACCTTGGCCGATGCCCCCTCACCAGGAGCATGACGGGCCAGCCCAAGACACGCGCCACGGCTTCCCACAGCAAGAGCACCCCCCGGGATGCTCGCAGGCGGGAGCCTGACGAGCCCGCCGAGAGCGTCTCTACGGGTGAGGGTAAGCGAATTCGCCTAGCCCGGCAGGCCGGCGGGGAACGCATGGATGAAGATGCCCGATGGCAGCACCCAGAAGGCGCGTCTCTACTACTTGAGCATGAGGGAATGGCCACTATAGTAATGGAGACGCCGGCGGAGCAGCGCCGGCGCTCCCGCTCC